CGGCAGCTGCATCATGGCTTGCCACTCTCCTGCCACCAGTCACGACCATTTGCATGCCCCCTACGCCATGAGATCTTTCCTCCTGGTCCTTCTCGTTCCCCACAGATTCTCTTGTTTTAGCTGCTGTCGAGCCTTAGCTGCCAGCTTCGCAGCCCACTGCCTCCTCTACTTCAACTGGCACTCGACCTTCTAAGTCTCCACCACCTCCCATCATGTATCCATGGTTACTCCCAATATGCATAGTGGCTTCCTCTCTTCTGCTCGAACCAACCTCTGTGAAGGAGGCCTTGTGCTACCCTGAATGGAAGTAGGTTATGTCTTAGTTTCAAATCACCCCAAGGACTTGGTTCCACGCCAAGCTCATTACAATATGGTCGGGAATCATTGGTTTTTTTTTTTTTTCATTAAGCATACCCCAGGCGGTTATATTGAGCACTACAATGCACACATAGTGGTTAAAGGATTTCATCAACGTCCTAGGGTTGACTAGGGATGACAATTTTGCCATACCCATGGGTATTTTACTATCCAATCCAATTGGGTTGGGTATGAAATCCAAATATATGGATATGGGTCAAGTTTGATGGGTTTGTACCCATACCCATTAACTTTGGGTTGGGTTGGGTTTATAACAAATGGATTTGGGTTTGTACCTATGCCCAAATACAAATTACAGTTTAGTACCTAAACTTAATAGATATGCATATTTAGTATCTAGATTTAATTTTTTTGCATATAAGTCCTCAAAATATCGACGAAAAATTACGTTTTGGTACCTAAATTTTTTTGGTCTTACATTTTGGTAACTAAATTTTTCAAGTTTTACAAATAAGTCCAATTTTTGCATGTGTAGTTAAAACACCCTCAAGTAAATGGATATCCATATCCAACCCATACTCATTTAGATAATATCCATATCTAACCCAAATCCATATAGAAACCTCAAACTCATACACATCACCCAAACCCTACCCATAATAAATGGGTCTACTTGGGTTTGGGCAAAATTACCCATGGGCGGGTAAATTGCCATCCTAGGGTTGACATTCATGAGACATTCAGTCTAGTGCTCAAATCGATTACCATCTGAACAGTATTTACGATGGCTATTTCTCACTGTTGGCCCATATTTCATTTTGATGTTCATGATGATTTTCTTCAAGGGCCCTTACATGAGGAGTTTTATATGTCTCAACCTACGGCTTTTAATGATCCACCCTTTCCACGTCATGTTTGTCGACTTGGTCATGCCATTTATGGACTTCGTCAAGCTCCCCATGCATAATATGATGCTAAAAAATTTCTTAGTAAGTTGCGGGTTTGTCAAAACTCGCTCTGAGGCTTCTTTGTTTGTAGACCTTGCTTACTTTCTAACTCTATGTTGACCATCTTCTCTTCACGAGTAATTGTTCTATGTTTTTCACTTAAGCATCTTGGCAGCTTCAATTTCTTCCTCGTAGTGAAGTTCTTCCAACGTCGACTAGTTAATTTCTCTCTCAACATAAGCATGTTCTCGATCTTTTGACTCAATTTCAGGCATATGAAGCCAAGTCTAGTCCCACGCCTTTGACCTCTACAACACAACTTTGCATGTTGTATGGTTATTCTTTAGCTGATGCAACTCTTTATCGCCAGACAGTAGGAATGGCAATGGGCAGGTCCGGGGCGGGTTTCTTGGTACCCAGACCCGCCCCGTGGCAGGTCGGGTAATTGATCACGGGTCGCGGGTCGGGGCAGGTCGACCCAATAGGTATGCAATTTATATGAAAACATTAGAAATATTCGTTATTTTTATTATAAGACTAAGAAAACAAACAATATTATGACAATTGTAGTTAAATTATTGAAGAAATTGAGGTTTTTACTAATTTTCAACTTTATTATAGCTAAAATATGATGTAATAAAAGGAAAATTCTAAGTAATTTGACTAAAATTACATGTAATTTAGACAAGAACGGGTCGAGAATGGGGCGGGTCAGGGCAGGTCGGGTCGATGAGACTACCCATGCCGGCCCCGGGGCGGGTCGGACCCACCCCAAAACAGGTCAAACAGGTCGGGTAAAACGGGTCAGGTCGAAATTGTCATCCCTACCAGGCAGTTGGTGATCTGCAATATCTGGTGACTACTCGGTCAGATGTTGCATTCTTGGTTAAACGTATTTCTCAATTTATGCATGCTATGACTTCCCTACATTGACAACATGTTAATGTCTTTTTGGGTACGTTGCTGGCGCACACATATTGATCGACGCAATAATCGTCATTCTCTTCCACTGCCACGTTGTGTGTTCTCTGATTCTAGTGAGGTCGCTAATACCGATGATCACAGTCCACCTATAGTTTTTTTTATTTATCTCGATGATACTCCCGTTTCTTGGAAGTCCAAAAAGCAATGTACAGTTGTGTGCGCAAGCACTAAGGCGGAGTATGGTGCTCTGGCTCTTGCGACATCTGAGATGTTGTGGATTAGTGATCTCTTAACTGAGCTTCATCAACCACTTGTTGTGGCCCCTGTCTTCTACTATGATAATCGTGGTGCGGTTAACTTTAGTTCTAATCTTGTGTTACACTCGCGTATGAAACATATTTGCTCTAGATTATCTCTTTGTTCGTTAGTTGGTCTAGTTTAACTAGCTTGTTGTCTGTTACGTTTCGATGTCCTCCCAGCTTGTTGATTTGCTCACCAAGCCTCTACCACTTACACGGTTTCAACTGCTTTGTTCCAAGATTGGGCTTGCTGATGTCGCCTCCATCTTGCGGGGGCGTATTAGGGACAAGTAGCTTTGTCCGTCTATGTCTCTGTTTTCGTATTAGTTAATTATTCTCCCTATTATATATGTACGCTTGTATTGTTGGGTATAAACAACCCTTAATTGTTAATGAGAATACATACAATTCACACAACCTTACACTAACCATATGGTCGACCTGATTAATAATGTGGTGGACTTGACAAACATCATGATTGACTTGTGTTGATTAATAAGTCTTGGACGGACAAGAAGAAAGTCGAAGGATCAAAATGGATAAGAGTCAGAGTATTGAGGTAATCATAACTTCCACTCATTACACTAAGTATAAAAAAATGTTTTGGTACTTCAAAGAATTTCTAGCTACACCAATATATGGTGTAATCCAAGTAGAACTTGGAATATAAAGGTAAAAGGAACATTGTTTATATGGTTAATACCACTACAGCATCCGAACTATAACCAAAATGCTATTTGTGTTCTATTCTTTTCAATATTCCATTTATGTCCTATCGTATGTTCTTTTTGGTCATTTGTGTCCTCCCGATTTCGTTGACCGTTAAAGATAATGGTTGACCAAACGGAGGTCAAATTGTTGTTGACTTCTGCTGAATTGGCAAAGTATGTTACATCCACATAGGCGCCATGTCATTGCCACATCATTTTTACTCAAAATTATAATAAAATTAAATTATGAAAATAAAAAATGAAAACTTTTAAATTCGACAATATTACTAAACAATATTTCGAACTGTTGCTCAAGCTTCTTGTCAGATCGAAAAAAATCCATAAAATTTCAGTCTGCTTCTTTATCTCACCACCACGTCAATCTCTGAATCTCCCACAACCGCATCGATCTACAGATGCGCGCAAGTCACTTGATGGGAGTGAGAATCATTTGTTGGGGCCGACAAGGGCTGAGATTTCGACGGTGGCGTAAATGTTTGGGACGGCGGCGACAGAGTTGAGAAACAGAGGAGACCAACAGAGAGGGGAAGTTTGAGGCAAGGCAAGATCAGTGAAGTAGGTCAATTATCTCCTCAAATCTGTTGACGGAAGGCTTGTCGTGAGTGATGCTTTTCGATGAGCTGGCGCTGCAGCATCTCAGATCCACATCTGCATCTCTGACCGTCCTCCTTGAATTCCCCGTGAACCCCCACCCCCACCGGCACCGACTGCCCTTCTCTCCTTGCTCTCAACTAATTCGCTGGCCTCCACCCACCGTCGTCGCCAAACACCCCTTCACCTTTGTCTCCCCCAATAAATGGACCCAATCTAAAGCTCCAAGACCAAATCCATAATTGTAGCCAGGCTCGACAACGGCGGAACCACGAGGGCTCTGTTCCTCACCCCTCTCTTCGACAGCGACGAACACTGGAGAAGATCTGTCAAATATGGCCGCCGATCGGATAGGGAGCAGTGGGTGGATGAGAACGGTGACTTCCAACGGAGCCGTCGATCTGGAGCTCGGTCTTGTTGACCCAAGGGAGGAACCAGAGAGTGAGGGAGTCCTGGAAAGAATTGCGGCGGTTAAGGCCGGAGAAGCGGAGAAGGGATTGAATCGAGGGATTGAATCTGTCGATTGTGACATGGGAGAGGGAAGGGGAAAGAAGACAGAGTGGTTTTCCTTTTTGTTATTTTTTTAATAAATAAAAATTAAATTTAAAATCCATGTCAGATGCCACGTCAACGTTGATTGGATTTTCTGTTAAATATTAACGGTCAACGTTGGTCAACACTAACAGAAAAAATAGTTCAGGATAAAAATTGAATATTGGAAAGAATAGGACACAGGTGATATTTTTCGAGTAGTTCGGGTATTGTAGTTATATTAGCCCTTGTTTATAACTGGCCACATAATTTCATTAGTGTGAAGCCTTTTTCGAAAGGTACCTAAGAGCAAATTCGAGCGGAGCTTATCCAAAATGGAGAATATCATATTCATAGTAATCGAGTATCGAGTGTAAACAAATCGTATCACACCTGATTCGAATTCGAAACCTCAAAGTTAAATTTGGTGGACCTTTATTTAGTCATAGCAGAATTTGAGATATGTATTTGTCTAGCAATATGTGTTTGGCGGATCAAACAAACATCTCGGTCTAATAATTTCGAAAATTCGAGCGATACAAAGGTCAGTGTGTTAACGGAGTCCCACGTGGCATGATCTGTGGCAGATTCTCTGCCCACGGACGAACCACAAAAAAGCCCACAAAAAGACAACAACTATCCTCTCACTCTCGCTCTCTCACACTCAGTTTTATGGCCCAATCAATGTGGTTCCCGAAACTCCTTCCCGTGACAGAACGCTCGCTCCTTCGTCCACTCCTCCACCACACCACCAACCCACTCCTCCACTCCTCCACCACAAGCCTCCGCCAATCAAACCTCCTCCCTCGCCGCGTTTCCACCGCCGCCGTTTCGCCAATGGAGTCCATCACCGTTCTCATGACCTGCCCGCCGGTCCACCCATACCTAGTAGAAGCCCTGGAGAAGCGATTCACCCTCCACAAGCTCGACTCCGTACCCGACAAGGCCCAGTTCTTGAGTTCCCACAGAGACTCCATCCGCGCCGTCGTCGGGAACGCCGCAGCCGGAGCCGACGCCGAGCTGATCGACCAATTGCCCAAGCTGGAGATCGTGTCGAGTTACAGCGTTGGGCTGGACAAGATTGATTTGGCCAAATGTAAGGAGAAGGGGATTAGGGTGACTAATACGCCCGACGTTCTGACCGATGATGTTGCCGATTTGGCCCTGGGGCTGATGTTGGCTGTGTTGAGGAGGCTGTGTGAGAGCGATCGGTATGTTAGGAGTGGGTTGTGGAAGAAGGGCGACTACAAGTTGACTACCAAGGTGTGATTGGCTTTTTAATTTCTCCCCATTATTCTGTTGTTTGCATCCGGCATTGATGGATTGTTAGTTTCTGTGGTTCTGGGTCTGAGTGACTGTTGTATTAGGAATGATTGGATGATGATACTAGTCAATGGGTTGCTCTGTAGTTCAAATTTGCTCAGTTTTGCGGATGATCTCAAATTAAAATGAATGGTTTGTGATGAATGATTGGTTGTGAACTGGAGCTCGCCGTTTAGAGAACCACTAAAGTTCAGGCTTTTCTGCTTGTGTCAGCTTGGACTCACTTGAATGTGTATGGGTTCTCGTAGTTTGCCCATGGCTAGGTGTGTGTGCCCATGTTTTGCTGTGTGTTTGATGAAGTCAGCTGAAGGAATAGGGCTAACTCCTGTCGTCCATGCTCCACATTGTTTTGCTGCAGCTCATTTTTCATTGACATGCTGTCTAAGAAGATTTTGGACCAGTTTTGTGTGATTTATGACTACCATTCCTGGAATTTAATGCTCTTTGTCATCATGAGCTTTAGAAATTTCGAATCCTTCAGTTTCGCGCATGAATTTGCTCATCTTCCCATCGGGCCAGTCCGAGATTGCACCAGAAACATAGAGCAGGAATCCTTGACATGACAGCTATATAAAACCACTGCCCACTTGTTGTTTGGGTCTTAGTTTCCAGCAAAATCCAAGCCAATTCTTCCTTCATGTCTTTCAGTTATTTCTCTGTTGAATCCTGTTTCATTGATTTGCTAATTATCAGTTGAATCCTGTTTCAATCATCCCCTTATTATCATCCGTTCCTTTGACATATGCAACAGCTGTGGACCTTTGGTTTCTTTGCATCTAACTTCACAACATTTCTATCTATAGTTTTGTAGATATGCAAACCATTGATTGATGTTGCTTCTCATATATGAACCATTATATGAGAGTTGCTTCTCTATATTTGGCTTCAACCTTTTTCTCCTACAGTTCAGTGGCAAGACAGTGGGGATTATTGGCTTAGGCAGGATAGGAATGGCAATTGCGCAGAGAGCAGAAGCATTCAGCTGCCCTATCAGCTACTTCTCCAGATCACAGAAACCTGGCATCAACTACAAGTACCACCCCTCTGTCGTCGACCTGGCAGCCAACTGTGACATCCTAGTCGTCGCCTGCGCCCTGACCCCCGAGACCCGCCACATCATTAACCGTGAAGTCATCGATGCCCTGGGTCCCAAGGGAGTCCTCATCAACATTGGCCGTGGCCCACATGTCGACGAGGCCGAGCTGGTGTCTGCTTTGGTCGAAGGCCGGTTGGGCGGAGCTGGTCTGGACGTGTTTCAAGACGAGCCGAATGTGCCAGAAGAGCTGTTCAAGCTCGAGAACGTGGTGCTATTGCCACACGTGGGTAGTGGCACGGTGGAGACCAGGCAGGCCATGGCTGACCTTGTTGTTGGTAACTTGGAAGCTCATTTCCTCAACAAACCGCTCTTGACTCCAGTGGTTTGATTCCTCTTATTTGGGTTCAGAAATTGGGGTGGAAATTTGTTGAGCTGTGGAAGCAGTTTCATATTGGGTCGATGTATTCATAAAGCTCAGTTTCAAGTAGTTGATTCTGCAGCATCTTTGTTTAGCTAGGTTGATTTTATTGTCTGGTATTGTTAGCGTCTTTGAATGTCAACTCTCTCCCTTCTAGTCGGAGCAATGCTCAGTTGTTGGATCATTAAGACGGAAACTTTTTTTCTCTTTTAATGAGTTAGTTCCCCCTAAGCTTCTTCTCCGTTTTCTCCTTCTCTCGGGTGATGACTACTCTAGTTAAAATGAAGTAGCTAGAGTTAAAATCTGACTTCAGATAGATTGAGATGGGGAAATTTTGAGTGAAGATGGAAAATTCGAATATGATATGTATGAAGATCAAATGAAGGAAGGTGGACATCTGCCTCATTGGATCAATGAATCTGGATGAAATTTTTATTTTAAGAGGAATATTCTTGTTTTGTTTGTGGTTTACGTTGATGGATCAAACTTTCCAAAAATCACAGTGGTTTTATTTGTTAGGATTACTATTGCTTTCATCAACACGCAATTTGTATGATGATGGGTCATTGATGCTAGTGATGGTAATTGGTGAGTATTTCAATCTTCATATTTGTTTTGCATTGAGTGTGGATTAGATCGAGTAATATTTATGTAGATACAGTAAGAATCGTCTATTCAGTCTTATATATTATTTGAAGAAAATGCATATTTTTTAGTGATAAAAGAAAGACAAAATACTCTTGTATAGCCAAAACTTTCGCGTTTTTGCCAATAATAATAGCCAAATTTGAAGAAATACCACTTATAGCCACTTCCGTCCAATACTTTAACGGTGTCATCTAACAGACTGACTGGACTAACGGAAATTCTGATTTGGCGACGTTTCATCACCAACAATGCCACAAAGATTAATAAAAAATAAATAAAAATAAAATTTAATGAAAAAAAAATAAATGAATGAAAAAAAAAATTTAAAAGAAAACCAATTTAATAAAAAGACTCCCAATCCCTAGACCTACCCTCTCCGTCTGCAAAAGTTAAAATGCTAACAAGCCCTTTTGTTAGCAGATACTAACTCATATCTAAAATAGTTGAACTAGTATCCACCTTTTAGACAAAATTATGGCTACTGAAAATATTTCGATAAAACTAGAAAAATTAGGGGAAAAAATAGATGAATATCAAGAAAATCTAATAAAGATAATAGAAGACAATAATAAACAATTAAGATCAATATTAGAATATCAAGGTAACGAAAAACAAAAAGATATATATTTAGATTTAGAACTCGCTAAGGATACAATTACCAAAATAATAGTGGATATAAAACAAAGGGAAATAGCAATGGGAAAAACAACTCCAAATTCTAAAGAAATAGTTTTACCGGTAGAAGATCTTAAGGAAATCATTATTAAACTTCAAAAAATAATTATTAAATTAGATAATAAAAGGAGCATTACAATTGAAGATATAAAAGAATATTTGAATGAGCATAAATCAGGAAAATCTAGCCCATTAACTATCATGGCACCCTATAAACTTCTATGACTAGTATTGACGAACAAGTTAATAAATTAAATGATTTACTAGCCGCAATTATTATTGAATCAGAACCAGAGATAGAAGAAAATATAGAAAACGATAAAATAGTTCTTGATTATAGTAGCGACGAAAACCCCTATAAAAATTACACAAATGCAAATTACACAAAAACTGAAACTGAGGATCAAGTTGAAACATCACGAAAGCATGATTTTAATGACTATAAAGATGGTCAACTATTTTTTGATGAATACTTATATAAAAATTCGTATACACCTCGCAAAGGGGGAGGATGGAGTAAAATACCTCAATCTTACATACCAAAATATTCCACCACTAGTTTTAACAGTCCTGATATATTAGATCTTGATTGTTGCGTCAATCCATTAAAAGAATTAGAAGACTGGAAAAATCGAACAGGATTACTAATACAAACTAATGATGATCTAAAGAAATTGGGAAAAAATCCAAAAGTACCACTGTTTAAAAAAAAAATTCCAAAAATACCACCCAATCCCAAAAAATTCCAAAAATACCACCCGTTTTCAAAAACCGCCACCCCACCCAGCGGTTTGGTCGAAAACCGCTTGTCGGGGGCGCGGTTTTGGACCAAACCGCGGGCCTAGGGGGCGGTTATAAAAAAAAAAAATTGGACCAAAACCGCTGGGTGGGGTGGCGGTTTGGCCCAAAACCGCCACCCCAACCAGCGGTTTGGTCCAAAAGTTCGGTCGAAACTTCAAACGAACGTAACTTTGCACTCGGGTATCCGATCGTAGCGATTTGTTTTTCATTTCGCATAACTTTTCAAGATCTACAACTTTTACTAGGATGAAATTTTCAAAACAGGAACTATTTGTGGATATACGGGACCTTGAGAATAACTTTACCTTTACTTTTCAGAAATTCATGTACATTTTGAAATTATGATTATATTAAAAGTTGTAGATCTTGAAAAGTTATGCGGAATCAAAAAAAAGTTCATAATATTCGGAGTTTGGAGCACAAAGTTATGGCCGCCCAAAGTTTGACGAAAGGCGAGACCCGGCGGTTTGCGGCTTACAAGATCTCAAAAAGTTTGCGGCCTTCATTTTTTGAATCCGAATAACTTTTTGAGATCTTGCAAGTCTCAAAGAGTCGGGTTCCGTCTTCGTCTCGAAAAAACGTTATTTGCCACCCCGAACGACCTTTTTTTTTATTTCGTCAAACTTTGGGCGGCCATAACTTTGTGCTCCAAAATCCGAATGTCATGAATTTTTTTTTTATTCCACATAACTTTTCAAGATCTACAACTTTTAATATAATCATAATTTCAAAATGTACATGGATTTCTGAAAAGTAAAGGTAAAGTTATTCTCAAGGTCCCGTATATCCACAAATAGTTCCTGTTTTGAAAATTTTATCCTAGTAAAAGTTGTAGATCATGAAAAGTTATGCGAAATGAAAAAACAAATCGCTACGATCGGATACCCGAGTGCAAAGTTACGTTCGTTTGAAGTTTCGACCGAACTTTTGGACCAAACCGCTGGTTGGGGTGGCGGTTTTGGGCCAAACCGCCACCCCACCCAGCGGTTTTGGTCCAAATTTTTTTTTTATAACCGCCCCCTAGGCCCGCGGTTTGGTCCAAAACTGCGCCCCCGACAAGCGGTTTTCGACCAAACCGCTGGGTGGGGTGGCGGTTTTTGAAAAAGGGTGGTATTTTTGGAGTTTTTTGGGATTGGGTGGTATTTTTGGAAATTTTTTTTTAAATAGTGGTACTTTTGGATTTTTTCCAGAAATTGCACCCTAATGAAATGTTTAATTTCTTAATATATAAAACAACTGGAGCAGTTTATCATTATCTTAACAACATGGATATTCCTACTAAGACAACGTTATATGGAACAACGGATGCGACGAATACCTTTGAAAAAGTCTTAAATGCAATAACTCATGAATTCTTAGGACGACATCCTCGAGAAGATAAACCAAACACAACCGTAAGTCAACAAGCTATTTGGCATTTAACTAATCTTAGAATCTGCAACATGTGCTTCTTAGAACCATTTATTTGTGAATTCAGAACACACTATTATCAAGTCACCCCTTCGATAAGAAAAGAACTAGATAAATTACTCTATGCTAAATTACCACCTAATGTCTCTGAAAAAGTCGAAGCTATCTTTAATGAAACTTTGGCAAAAGAAGAAATACCAGATACATTAGGAGGACGAATATTAGTTTTACAAGAATGGCATAAACGAGCTTGTAATAAGGAAAAACTAAAAAAACAAGCTAAAATTAAACTCTGTTGTGAAGAAACAATGGACAGAGTTGGAAAGTATGGATGTAATGATGATCGTAAGATCATTAAAACTCAAAAAAAATATAGAAATTATAATAAATCGAGAAAAATACCTTATAAAGAATATAGAAAAAATAGGTTTAGAAAACCAAATAAATATTTCAGAAATAGAAAACAGTTTAAACAAAAATCAAGACAACAAGAATACTGTCCTAAAGGAAAAACAAATTGTAGATGTTGGTTATGTAACGAAGAAGGACATTACGCAAATAATTGTCCTAAGAAAAATACTAACACTAGAAAACAAGAAGTCCTCAGATTAGCTTACGATTGTGGTTTTGAACCAATCGAAGAAACAGATTTCGAACTTTCCGATATAGAAATTATTGAATATATTTCAACCTCAGAAACCTCTTCAGATGAGTCAGAAGAAGGTATTAACTAAGGGCAATGCTAACGCAACATTTATTAAAATTGAAATAGAGAAGAAAAGCTTCTTAGCATACATTGATACAGGGGCAACCTTATGTTTTGCCAAAAAATCAACCATAAAAAAATGGGATAAACTTGAAAAACCTTTAAAAATTTAGTGGCAGACAAATCTATCCATGAAATTTGGTATGTAAAACAATATGTACCAATAATCATTGAAAAACATATCTTCACAGCTAAAACAATCTATCAACATGACTCAGGACTAGATATAATAATAGGAAATAAATTTCTAAAATTATATCAACCATTTATCCAAAGGATTAGAACAATCAGCCTTAGATGTCCTAAAACAATAGACCAGGAATCTAAGATAATCACAACAAGAATAATCACAAAAAATGAAGTGCTAAAAATTGTACTTCAATACCTCAAAAATAGACTAGAATATATACAGATTACCTATAGCATTCTAGAGGATACTTTAGACCAGGTGTGTAGTGAACATCGTTTAGATAAAGATAAAAATACCAATCAAGAACTTATCGAAATTAAACTAAAAGATCCTAAAATGGAAGTTAATGTCCCTAACAAAATTCAATATACTCAACGAGATGTAGAAGAATTCCAAAAGGAATGTTCAGAGTTAGCTGAAAAAGGTATAATACGAGAAAGTAAAAGTCCTCATAGTGCTCCAGCATTTTATGTAGAAAATAATAATGAAATCAAAAGAGGAAAAAGAAGAATGGTAATAAACTATAAAAAACTTAACGAACAAACAATAGGAGATAGCTATAAACTACCTAGGAAAGACTATATATTAGAAAGATTGAAAGGTCAAACGTGGTTTAGTAGTTTAGATGCTAAATCTGGATATTGGCAACTTCGTCTACATGAGAATACCAAACCTTTAACAGCCTTTTCATGTCCACCACAAAAACATTACGAATGGAATGTTCTCCCATTTGGAATGAAACAAGCACCAGCTATTTACCAACGGTTTATGGATCATGTATTAGAAGGTTTTCAATCGTTCTGTTTAGCATACATTGATGATATTATTATTTTCACAAATCAATCAGAAGAAGACCATCGTGAAAAAATCTTGATAGTTTTACAGAGAATAAAATAAAAAGGTCAAATTATCTCTAAGAAGAAATCAAAATTCTTCTAAGAGAAATTGAATATCTTGGTATGAAGATTAATAATTTTGGTGAAATTGAGTTGTCACCAAACACTAAATAAAAAATAGATAAATTCCCAAACCAACTTGAAATAGAAAACAAATTCAACGTTTTCTTGGATGCTTAAATTATATCAGCGAACAAGGATTTTTAAAAGATTTAGCAA